TCAGCAAATATATTATCACTGCAGTGCATGTTGTGTCCTATGATAGCTTTAGTTCACCTAAGTCTATCAGAATTTAGCATCTTTTATATTAACATTAGTAGTAGAATTATTGTTGAATGACACTGAATGACCAATTATTTCTCAAGCATTATTGTATATATAAATTATATGGTCACACTTTATTTTAAGGTCCAATTCTCGCTATTAACAAACCATTCTACGTCTTTTGCCTCAATAAACTACTAATTTGCTACTCACTAATAGTTAGGAAGGTAGTTGTTAAAGGGTTAGTTCACCCAAAAATAAAAATTCAGTCATTAATTACTCACCCTCATGTTGTTCCAAACCCGTAAGACCTTCGATCATCTTCGGAACACAAGATACTTTTGATATCTTTTTGAAATCTGAGAGCTCTCTGACCCTGCATAGACAGCAACACAACTGAAATGTTCCCAGACCCATAAATGTAGTAAGGACATCGATAAAACAGTCCATGTGACATCAGTGGCTCAACGTCAATTTTGCAAAGCTACGAGAAGCTACTTTTTGTGCGCAAAGAAAACAAAATTAACAATTTATTCAACAATTCTAAAAAGTAAAAAGTATATCATTTTGTATTTTTCTTAGAAAATGACCGATTGTTTCACTAGATAAGACCCTTATTCCTTGGCAGGGATCACGTAGAACCCTTTGAAGCTGCACTGAAACTGCAATTTGGACCTTTTCACCATTGGCCACCACTGAAGTCCACTATATGGAGAAAAATCCTGGAATGTTTTCCTCAAAAACCTTAAATTCTTTTCGACTGAAGAAAGAAAGACATGAACATCCTGGATGACATGGGGTTGAGTACATTTTCAGGAAATTTTCATTCTGGAAGTGAACTGCTCCTTTAAGGACAAAAACCTGACAAATGTCTTGAAGTACATTACCTGAAAAATACCTTGAGGTGCAGTAAGGTAACTGTAGCATAAGCAGAATAATTGAACCAGTTTTAGTATGAACAGCCAAACACATAGCCTTTATGCTCCATTTGATAGTGAGTCCATGTGAAGTGCATTGAGTCCAATCGTGAGAAAAAGATCACCCCGGGACAGGATTTAACCAGGGTTTAGATGAGGTTAATCCCAACCAGGTGAACTACACCTCTGACGCTGTTTTTTTATCATAAATTTTACGGAATTTTTTTTACAGTGTGTTCATGAGAGAAGTAGTGACGTGCAACTGTGAACCAACGATTATTTTGTGTCAGATCATTCCAATAAAACAGCTGATCTGTTACAAAAAATGATCAGAACAATTCAGTTAAGAATTAAAGTGATTCAATGTCTCTGTGCTCAGTGGTTAACTGCTATCTAGAAGTTATCAAAATCAGAATCTGCTCTTCACAAATCTATTTTTGACTCTTAAAAAATGAAATATAGCACAAGAGAGTTAAACAAAAAAACAAATAATCACACCATGTTCTCAATTATCATTTAAAATCACATGAGCAATATGACCTCTATAAAAGAGGAATGTGATTATTGTGTGTGTGATTTAGAAAGAAAGTGAGATGGGGGAGTGAGAGGGAACTTTACAAAGCATTTGTAAATCGGTTCACAGCCAAACGGAGATTATGGAATTAACCCTCAGCTTTCACTTTAGAAGTCACTACTCTTTCCTCACTCCACTTGTCCTCTCAAGGATATTTTTTATCAAACACGTTGATCACAATCACAACTTCATACAGACAAAGAGGTCAGAGATTCATTCAAAGTGATTCGATTTTACCATAAACCTCTGTATCCTGATCATTTTTAATGTCCAAACCCCCTATTACACTGGTCTCTGGTACAGCCCTGTGGCTATTCATAAACTCATAAAACAGAGACACACTATAATCTCCCCCTCATTCTAGACAGGACACGTGGCTGTTTGTGTGAGAGCTTGAAGATTACAGAATCAATTAAATGAACTTCTTCATCTGTATGACATTCACATCTCAGCTGACTACATTCTGTGAGAGACATTTATGTAATGGGAAAAGTCCAACCATTACACTTCACAAAAATGTTTTTAAAATGTCCATGTTGCTCTTTTCCATGCAATCATAATGGATATGATTTACATGAACAAGCTCAAACATATCATAAGAGTAATCCATAAAACTTGTATAGCATATGTTGTCTGTATAAAACAATACTGTGAACAATATATACGTATGAGTCAAAATCTGCTAAGATGCAATAATGGAACAACAGTTCCAGTTCCAAAAAAAAAAGTATTTTTCACTACTGTTTAACACAGGAATTGCATTTTCATGGGTTTAAATAGAAGATTTTTGTAACAAGACATGACAAAAACAACTGCATCAAGGCCACTCTTTTCCTTTTAAAAAAATTAACTTGATTTTAAAAGGTCAAAATTTGTGACAGCTGAATGCAACATTTTTGACCAGCCAAATATATCAGTATCTGAGTAACGTGATTTAATTTAGCCACGATATAAACTTCAATCCATAAAATAAGTACAATGAACTACGCAAAACATTTTAAACATCTCTGGCACATTTCATAATTACCCAAAAATCAATCATAGTTCACCCCTTATGCACATTGTTACGTCCGTCAAAAGCTTTGCCTGGCTGTCAGTTGTAATATTACAACTAAAAACATCAACATAACATATTCATGGACATCAATTACTTTACTGAATACTTGACAGCTACATCATACATAATGATTACCTTATGATTCATTTGTTTTCAAATCTGCATCATTTAAATATTACAACACTGATGTCTGTCAAAAAATAACATGCACAAAAAATGGTAGTATTTACGAGAAGCAGAGGTCCAGGAAGTACACGCAATACCCATATACTACCTAAAATTAAGCGTTAGCTTAGTTCTGGCAGGTCACGTGAGTCAAGCTTGCATCAGCTGATTCTCAGCTGATCACATCTACCTATAGGAATACAACACCTATCGCGGCATTCCTATATAAGCTGTATTCAGTATTATTCAGCAGCTTTTCTGTTTGCTCAGGAGCAAATTACCCTCCTCCATCCCCAGCTCCTCCTTTCGCCACAGTCAGGACTTGGCTTTCTGATATTCCTTGCTAATCAGACTCCTTTATCTTGAATAAAGTGTTACACTTAAATATCATTAAGTACATTAATGATATCTGCCTTGTTCTGTTCTGTTAACCCTAGGGGGGTTATTATTGCTGCTCCCCCTGCTCATTCATGACAGGCTGCATGGATGGGCAGGGAGTTTTTTGCCCAGAACAGAACCATACCGCCAAACCAAACTTTATGCTAAGTATCTATAATTTTGACGATAGTGGTCCTGACAGAACTACTGTTTTGACTACATCAACGCTTTCCAAGAAGGAGAAAATGGCGGCCTGAGCAGATTCAACATGTCTGTCAGAGATGATAATGTACCTAATGCATAACACACGACTATAAATTTGTTCTTCACTTGCTGAAATTGAATTGGAATGATCAGGGAACTGACGGGAAAAAAAAAATCGCACTGCATGCTAAAGAGAATAAACACCAAAACTTTACTGTGTTAGTGAACATTGTTGTATGCTATGTTTTGACAGACTAAAATGTAGTTTTAAATACTGCAGTCTAAATACTGAACTATATTTAAGATACTATTTTATGGTCTTTTTGTGCCCTTTCACTTTCATGGAGGAAAAAACATTGAACATTCTATTTGGACATTCTGCTAAACGTCTTCGTTGTGGGTGAACTATCCTTTTAAATGTTGCATGATGCCCTGGGCTTTGACCTCCCAGTTTAAAGGAGAAAACAAAGAAAAAGGGAGAGGGAAAGAGTAGAACAGACCATCACATGACAGACGCTCATGTGAAAATCTGCTGCCTGCTGTTTCCCAGAGTCTCCCTTCACCAGCAATCCCTTCACCCACCAGATTGTTACTACTGACCGGCTCTCAAATACGCTTGCCAAAAATGTCTGAAATCCCACAAAATCTGTTTGCTTGAAAAATAACTACGCTGCACTTGTTTACAGTTACTCCAAGCATTCCAAAGCCAGGTTACCCAGGATTCTCTGGGGCACAGAACAGTGTTAACACATATCCTGATGAATTACCACAGCCAAAACAGGATCTCATCCAAACGTAATGACGCAAGATTAAATTTTGTCAAAATAAATGGAGACGCGATGTTCACATGGACAATAAAATCCTAAGATATGAGATCACGGACCATTTCCGATAGGCCACTGAGCAGAGTGTCTTCTTATAAGCATTATTGTTGCATGATTAAATCTTTATCAGTTTCACACTTATGTATACTGCATGACCACTACAGAAAATGGAACGATTGACAACAAAACAACATACGTTTATCTATACATTTCAGTAAAAAATTAGGATAAAAAAATATTGACTAAATCAGTAAAAAATATTGGTTTCCAATAATCTAACAACTTAATGTTCTAATGCAGAGTTTTTCAAAATATTGATGACCCAAAAATATAGTATTTACATTACATTATATTTGTGGAAAAATAGTGAGCATATTATTAGACAACAATGTCAAATTCAACAAATGTTTACATATTATTATTGCTATTATTATTATTTTCTAATTATTTAATATATTCTGTACATATGTAATAGAAACATACAAAGTAACTACTAAACTGAAGCTGTGAGAATTTTTTTAACATTTACAGCCATAATAACCAGCTTGATTATTATCTTGATTTAAGTCCGTTCACACCAGAATTGATATAACGGAATGATAAATGATTATCTTTTACATGAGTCTTTTTCTGCAACAACAGGAAAATAGTCAGAAAACTAAGTATAACATAATATTCCAATTAAAAAAAGTTAGACAACCAATCTTTCTCTAGCCAATTTAGCTTGTCTCCAAATAAAAAAATTAAAAAAAGATCACCAACTGAGAAGTACCACAGTGATTACTGAAATTACATATGCTCAAAACAGGCAAAAGAGTATTAGTTTCAGTACTTACTTTAACAAACATAAAATCCAGCTCCTGGTTCATGTTTAAAGCACAACCTTCTCTATTTCATACTGAAGACAAGAAAAATGATGTCTGTCCTACTTCTGCCAGCGCTGGGAAACACGTTAGGGATCGCTCAATGCATCTGATTGGATCCCTGATCCCAGGCGGATATATATTGATAACTGCGTCTGGGAGACGGTCTTCCGAGTGGCTGATGCTCGAGTCAGCAGAGAGAACTGTTTGTCTGTATCCTCAGCTGTTCTCAGAACAGCCAAACCCTCTAGTGTCACATGAGCAAGAACAGAACCTTTTTTTAAATTGCATCATTCTGCAAAACTGTGGGACAGTCAGTGGACAGAGAGACAAGTTTCAAACTGGCATGTAAACATAACAGATGCCACATGCAGATGCATCAGTAAATGGCTGAGCTTATTTCATTTACCCCTATACAGAACTTATTTACTTCCTACTAGTAATGCAACACACATGTTGGCAATCAATGGATTTTGTCTGTCGTTCTTCAAACATTATAGTAGACATATTTTGGTTTACAAACTGTATTGTTTCATCAGTTAGTCACGTTAGCACTCGGCTAACGTAGCCACCATTATTGTTTTAAGTGTCCACAGTTTAGCAGCTAAACTTTAGCTGTGGGCACAATTAGCTTGCATAAGTGTTTTTGTATTTTATGTCATTATTATAAGAACGGATTGGAGCACTATATTATTGTTCTATGTAAAGGTGCTTTGTCAATGGTAGCACTCGCTAACTTGCTCAAGGACTCCTCTCTGTGCCAATCACAGCAGGCTTGGCCAGCTGACCAATCAGAGCAGAGTAGGCTTATGGAAGGGAGGGGTTTGCTCCGAACTAG